CTTGGCATTAAAATCACCCACAATGATCTTGTAGAAGGTGTGGTCCTCTTTATAGAACTTCTCTAGCTCCATGTAGAACTTCTCGATTTCTCTTTCATCATAATGAGATGTTGGTGCGTAGACAACGAAGATAGAAACTGCAGGCAGTGAGCCACATCTATTCAAATGTAAACGTCCGATTCGGGTTGTTCGGCATTCGAATGAATCAATGCTCTTGGCCAAGTTTGTGTTGACAAGGACACCGACGCCTCCAACACCTCTTTTATCGCATGTTCCAAGGAACAATTCTTCTCCAGTGTCGAAAACGGCATGGTGAGATTCGTGCCTTCTTGTCTCGGTCAGACCAATGATGTCGTACTTGATCATTCGCGCTTGTACCATCAGGTCCTTGATGGATGCATCTGATGCTAGCGTACGTGCATTGAAAGTACAGACGATCATTTTTGTCTTCCTTCGTTGTGGCAGCCTAGGTCGGCCTTGAGATTTTGTCGGCCTCTCCTTTCTCATCCTTCTCAGTGCTGCCATGTCGGTGAAGCCTTCAGGGTCAGGTGAATGAGACCAGTTGTAGTTACTGGTTTTGGCATATCGAATACACAGCGGACACTACTTCCACTACCCAGCCGTCGCCACACCCCAGGACGCTTTCCGGACCCGCGCGGCAGCTCCGGCCGAGACCCACGCACAACTGAAGACCCACAGAACAAGATAAGCGGAACTCTCTGAGACCTTGGACTCCAGGCTCGGCGGACCCAGGGACAGAGCTTCTCTGCTTGCTCCCACCACCACAGGTGACAAAGGGATTCTAATCAGGAGCCCCACCCTACCCTGCCCTGCCCTGTCTGCTTCCATCAACCACCCAGGGATCGAATTGTGCACAGGAGACCCACCCTACCCAGATAAATACCCCACTGGCAGACTTCCACTCTCGACACTACTTCCACTACCCAGCCGTCGCCACACTCCAGGACGCTTTCCGGACCCGCACGGCCGCTTGCGACACATCATAGGACACTAAATACCCATCTTCTGGAATTGTTGTACCATATTTGATAGGGTTCAAATATGGTAACACCTACAAGGGTGATTAGAGGTCACCCCAAAAGCCTCTATACCTCTCGGAAAGACTGGCAAGCTACCGAGAGTATTCCGCCCGCACGGAAGAGCCTGGCAAGCTATCCGCTGTGTATTCGATAAGTTCATCTATATGGTTCTTTATCTGTGCAAATTCTGCTACTATAACTTGCTATCTTTTTTAGTTTTCTTAGTTCATCATAATACGGAGTATGTCATCCTCTGTATCAGATTTTGCTTTTTGGGTCACACCCGGTGATGCTCAGGGGTTCCTCCTGGCTATGCACTCAGGAATTACTCCTGGCAATGCTCAGGGGACCATGTGGGATGCTGGGAATCGAACCCAGGTTGGTCATGTGCAAGGCAAACGCCCGACCCGCTGTGCTAATGCTCCAGCCCCTCTGTATCAGTTTTTTGAGGTGGTTGAGTTTCTCATCTTGTGTATGCTCCATTTCACTGGCCAGTGCTTGCTTAAATTCTTTTTTCTTTTTCTTTTTTACTTTTTGGGTCACATCTGGCAAAGTTCAGGAGGTTATTCCTGGCTCTACACTTAGGAACTACTCCTGGCAGTGTATGGGGAACCATATGGGATGTCGGGGATTGAACCCAGCTCAGCCACATGCAAAGCAAATGCCCTATAGAATGTGCTATCACCCAAACCCTTGCTTAATTTCTAATGTCAATGTACTGAGTGTTGATCTTAGGTTCTCATTGACCAGGGTCAAGGCTTTTAATGGGATTGAGAATTTGCCTGGGTTTCTATCTCTCTCTGACACTAGTTGAGTTCCTTAGTTTCCCCATTGTTCTTGAATTTTATTTGGGCTAATGTTGGAACTTGGGATTCCCAGTTACTTATGAAATGATCTGTTCAACTGTTTATACAAGAGGTTACTGATAATACCTCTGTTGTGTAGATTGGGATGCTTTACATGTAGTGTCTTAGACTATAGCAAGGTGGCTTTGAATTAGTTACTCTGTTTAGTTGACTAAGATATATGACCGTAGAAGGTCAGTGAAGTAAGTATTGCATCCAATGGCTTCAATATAAAGTGTGTTCAATCATAATCTTGTGTGGATGCTAATGTGTCCATGCAGTTCTGAATTCAGAGAATTAGAGCTTATGTCAGATGGGGCTACTCCCTGATATTGAAGCTGGGATCTGCGAAAAGGGAGCCCTTATTGTCCAGGGTCCTAGGCTTTCTATCTGGAGCCTGGCTATGGTGAGAGGGAATGGGTAGGTGGAGCCCCCATGCCCAGAGGCACACACCTCGATTCAAAGAATTAGATCCGAAGTGATTTGGCACAAGTGAGGTCTCCCTTCTTCACTTGACATCCCGTTACTCATCGATTTGCTCAAGCAAGTGCCAGCAATGTCTCCATTCATCCCTGTTGCATGTTAGTGTAGCCCAATGGTGTCTGCTTGTTCTAGGAACACGAAGAGCCTCAAACCGATCGTTGAGAGTCTTGATGAAGAAGTCTGACCATCTCGTAGGTGGGCGGCCATGTGGTCTTTTAATGTCCTGTGGAATCCAGTCAGTAATGGTTCTAGTCCAGCGCTCGTCTCCAAATCTCATTATTGTGTAGAGCCGATCTGATTTTCGACACCTTAGCAAATGAGACAGCATCCCTGTTGACAGAGGTCAGAACTCATGATTCTTTCTCTCATTTGAGTGAAACATGATACTCCAAGCATAGCTCTTTCGATTCCTCTTTGGGAGACCTGAATAGCATTCTCACCCTGTTTTCATAGGGCCCAGGTCTCTGAGGTGTATGTTAATGCAGGAAGAACAGTGGAATTGAAGAGATGTGCCCAGAGCCAGAGATTCTTCATACTCTTAGCTATTTCTTCGATGCTCCTGAAGGCGTTCCAAGCTGTTCTCTTCCTCCTGCGCAACTCAGGTGCCAGGTCATTCATCATGTTGACTTCTCGACCTAGGTACACATAACTGTTGCATTTGGAGATGGTCATTCCGTTGAGAGTGAGTGGAACGTCAGGATCGTGACTGTTTCTCATAAACATTGTCTTTGTGAGATTCAGCTGTAATCTGACCTTTCCACACTCATGGTCAAAGTCGGCCAGCATTTGTGCTGCTTCGCTTATGTTTGGTGTTATTAGAATGATTTCATGATGTCATCAGCAAAGCGGAGGTGGTGTAGTTGCCGACCATCTATCTTCACTCCCATTCCTTCCCATTCCAGTCATCACATGATGTTCTTGAGGGTGGCACTGAAGAGTTTCGGTGAAAAGGTATCACCCTGTTGAACCCCTCTCTTGACATCGATGATCACTTCTTTGTAGAATGGTGAGATCCTGGTAGTGAATTCATAATACAGCTCATGGAGGATCCTGATGTATTGAGTTTGAATGCCCTGATTGGCTAGGGCTTTGATGACCGCTTTCATCTCAACAGAATCAAAGGCCTTCTTTAAATCAATGAATGTTAGACAAAGCAGCATCTTGAACTCCCGAGAAACCTCAAAGAGGTTGATTATCGTGTGGATATGGTCGATCATGCTGAATCCTTTTCGGAACCTGGCTTGCTTGCATGGTTGTCCTTCATCTGTCTTCATCTCATGATCCCGAATTAGAGGCTTTCTGTCCTCAGCCTCACCATGGTAAGATGGAGCCACAAATGTCTTACTTTTAAATCTGCATGATGAAAACCATTTTCTTTTTTGGAGGGGGTAAGGGGATTAGGAAAATCTACTTACAAAAGATAGCATTTTATTAGGGTGATTTCTTGAAAAATTCAATTAGGTTTCCTTACCAAAGTTCCTAAGATACCTGGCATTTTGTATCTTTTTTTTTTTTAAATTAGTGAAACACCATGAGGTACAGTTGTAGACTTACAAATTTTTGTGCTTGGATTTCAATTATACAACGATCAAATACCCATCCCTCCACCAGTGCCCATTTTATCTTGAGTTTTCCACTACCCAAACAAGATATTTAATTAGCATTTGCTAAGAAGGTACAATTGTCAGACAACATTGTGAGAGAATCTAGGAGGCTCTGCCTCCATGTGAGCTTCAAGAGATGAATTTATATACCCTCTGCTTGTCCCAAAGATTCAAGGATTGTGATTCCATCAGTAAACCAGTTTATTGATTGGGAAAGTCTGGAGTGATCATATATGCTTTGATCCTCCTGTGAAATATTTCAGAGTGAGAAAATGTCAGTATTTTGTTTGCTGGGCTACCTTACTTAGTCTCTGTAGATCTGAGTTTCAGAAAAACTTAGAAGACATACAAGTTTTTCTTCCATCATATTGTAATATGATGTCTGATATATTGTTAGCTGTATATAGCTAGTTATATAGCTGGTTACCTGTTTTTATAGTTCAAGTGATTTTTGTCTAATTTACTTTTCCAGGAGAAAATCAGAATTCAAGAAGGCCAAAGGCCAAATAAATCTTTAATTATTGTCAAAGCTGAGAACTTATATATTTTACAAATTAGAATATAAAATAATTCATCTATTAAGATAATGTTATTAAAATGTTCAGACAAAATTTATCAAGGTCCCAATTAATGGATTTATAAACTATTGTTGTGCTAAACAAAATATTATAGGGGAAGAAAAAGACAGTTTTTGTTCATTTATTTCAAAGTACCATCAACTTTCATTTATATAAACATACATGTTTCACTTATTTTCATTTAACCTATATCCTTGTTTGATCTATATCCTTGTGGAAGAATTGTAATCCTGATCTCTATGTCCTGAAAATCAGATTTTAGTTTTAAACATTTAAAAAGTAAAAGCATAGTACATGTGCATAATCATTAGCAATATTCTGACAACTAAAAAAATTAGACAGATAAAATATTATATATAGTTTTGATGGTAGATTATAAAAGAATGGAAATGTTTATTTTAAGTAAAAATTACAGTATTCACATATATATAAGTATTATATATAACCTACCTGCTTTTTTGATACATTTGTTCTAATTTCTCAACTAATGTACAGCACTCTTCCTTTAACTTTTTCAAAGTTGTGTTCTGGGAAATCATCAATGAAAATTGTTCACTTTCTAGAAAAAACAAGAACAGCATGCCAAATATAAGATATTTAGGGTTATAGTTTTGCAATGATATGTAGAGTGGCAAAAGCACTAAGATGATTACACATTTTCAATTTAGCACCAGGATCACTTTCAATGTCCTAAGTGAAATCTATCAGACACTGTCATTCAAGATGTTTATTTTCCTATGGTGATGTTTATTTTCCTATCAATTATATATCAAAAACATTTTTGGTCATACTACTTGGTGTAATGATTTAATGAGTTGATAAATTATCAAAAACCTCACTACAAGTAATTTAATACTATAATTTTATTTTAACAAATTTACTATAAACAGGGTGTCAAAATGATCACAACCCAGATAATTTCAAAGTCAAATAAGTAACTTTCTTTTAAATTATAATTCATATTTTTAAATATTTTTCATATTTAACATCATGTTGCATATACTTCTCTAATCATGAAAATTAAATACAACGTTTACCTTAAAATATTTTAATTTGATTGTCAACAATATGTGCTCTAATGAAGATTGATGGTCAAGAAAAATGAAGAGTGAGATACTTTGGTGCAAAATAAAAAGGAACTGTTCTTAAGGTGGTTCTTAAGAAAAAAATTAAGCAATATCTTCCTGGAAGAGACAGGATTAATCAAACTTCTGTTTTAATAGTACAATCAGCTTGGGAATATGTGATGTGGAATTATAATTACTAATTCTGTCTTGGTTTGACTAACGCTGTTCGTCAACATACAACTCAAAGGTGAATGAAGCTACATGATACTCTTACTGAACAAATCACTATTTTCAAAATGCCTATTTTCAAAGTGCTTTCAAATTAAAGGTAGAGAGTTACCTTTACCTTTACCAAAATGGTACCAATGTGATGAAAGATGTCCATTTTCAGTCAAGCTGTAAGCTGTAGTTAAACTCTTGTATTAGTGAATTTTAACAACAATGTGAGAATTTGAAGAGTTCAAAGGTTTACTAGATTTACTTGGGGGAGTTCATGAAATCATATTTATGCTAAAAATGTTTGAATCTGCAAAGATTAGATAAAGGAACATATCAATTTGGAACTTGAATTACATCCAGTTGTGAGAGTGAATTAAGAACTGGTGAATGGCTAAAGCTTTCCTCCAGTTTGGATGCTGAAACTAACTCATTCATTAGGCTTTTAGAGTAGCTATAATGTGTGTAGTGTGGGAACTGTACAATGCTATTTAAGAGACTCTAATGTACTGTAAGCTCTGAGTATATCCTGCAGAGTTTCTTTGTTGTGTTCTCTCTTAGCTTTTTGTTTTTGAAAACGGGTGAATAAATTCATGAGAAATGGTGTAAGAGGTATGAGAGCAGCACTCTGAAATAAACAAATGAGTCAGTACTTTATATTTTCTCTTTTAAAATTTAATATGTGGAGTCTCTGATGTAGTCAGCATCTCTCCCATTGGTCAGCCAAAGGTTACAGATGTTCCTGATGTCATTTCACAGTAAGGCGTGGGCATGGCTTGTGCGTGAGTGCCAGGCTCTAATCTTTCCCTACCACCTACCAGTTTTGTCATGCTGGGCCTCCATTTGCTGTATCTTCTGTGTCAGCTCCTGCTCTCTTTGCTGGGCCTGAAGGTCTTGGGCCTTTGCTTCACTGCTGAACCTCTGCCTAATGCTATCTTTTTCCAGTCTACAAAGTAGAGAGGAGACAGACAGAAATTTAATTTATAGTCATTTCAGCCCGAATGCCAATAATTTCCCCTCCAGACAAACAGTCATGTATACTAAATAGTAAAGCCTAAAAAGAAAATCTTTTAGAGGTTTATAATAGGGATTATAACAGGAATTGAACCCGGGTTGACACATGCAAAACAACTGCCCTACTCACTGTACTATAGCTCCGACCCTGGTATTTTGTAATTTTTTAATTTTTAAATAAACAACTTTACTTAATCCTTGTACTGTCATTCTGTTGCATTCCAAATGGTTATCATTTCCTAAAGTTTTTGAGTTGCAAAATACCATAAATAAATACACCAAAATTTTCTTGAAAATTATCTTTGTAGAATGTTCTAACTCCAAACCAGACTCTTCACAGGGGCGACTTGGTGTGGGGTAGATTGAGTTTCCCTCCCCGCCCAAATTCCAAAGAACTGACATTCTATATATTGTGGAAATTTTCACCATGAGGCAGTGAAAAATTGAGCAATACACAACAAGTAGTGAGAGAACTCAGTTTTATTATATTGGCAGAGTCAGCAGAGCTCATGCTCCAAAGACTGGGTCCCAAACAAAGGTGAGAGCTGTTTGAAAGAATATCCTACGAGGGGTAGGGATTAGCAGTAAACTGGCTGCAAAGCACAGAAACAGAAATTCTCAAGTGTAATCTGCAAGGCCAGGGCATGCCTAACTCAAGACATGAGCACATTTGGAGTACATGCCTGAGTTATAAGGGCACATAACAAGATTTTGATCATCTCAAGTACATCCTAAATGTGTTCTATGGTTATTTCATGTCTCCCAGACTCAGCTGACCTTGGTAGCTTCTGCTCTCCAGTGTTAGTCTGTTTGAGATGTGGGCAGAAGTCTATTTCCCTCTTCACATGCAATGTTAATTCATGTCATGGATCCAAAGGACATGAAGTATACAACTTTTAAAATTAAAACAAAAACGTGACAACTAAATAATGATATTTTGTAATTTTTATTAGTTTTCACTTTTGGTCCACACCTGGTGATGCTCTGGGGTTATTCCTGGTTCTGCATTCAAGAATTATTCTTGGCAATGCTTATAATAGGGATTGAACCCAGGCTGACACATGCAAAACAAGCGCCCTACTCACTGTACTATAGTTCCGACCCTAGTATTTTGTAATTTTTTTGTTTGTTTGTTTTTGCTTTTTTTTTCGGTCACACCTGGCGATGCACAGGGGTTACTCCTGGCTCTGCACTCAGGAATCACTCCTGTCGGTGTTCAGGGGACCATATGGGATGTTGGGAATCAAACCCGGGTTGGCCGAGGGCAAGGCAAACGCCCTACCCGCTGTGCTATTGCTCCAGCCCCAGTATTTTGTAATTTTTAAATAAACACCTTTACTTAATCCTTGTACTGCCATTCTGTTGTATTCCAAATGGTTATCATTTCCTAAAGTTTTTGAGTTACAGAACAGCATAAATCAATACACCAAAATTTTCTTTGTAGAATGTCCTGACCCTGAGCCAGGGGCAACTCGGAGGGGGATGGACTGCATTTTCCTCCCCATCCCAGCAGAACCCTGGCAGCCAAAAACCTCCAGAACCCAACCACAGCCATGCTCAAGCTCACTCTCCACAGGCTCGGAGAGCTTCACCTATGAGGGAACCTGCAAAAAAAACCAGATACAAGTGTGTACATTAAGGGATCACTTGCAGCCCACTTCTAGATGTTTCTAGACACATACTCCTCCTGTATGAGATCATCTACAAATGCAAGCTGTTCTTCTTGCTAGAGGAAATCAAGGATAAATCACTTGAAAACACACCATGATCACCATTCTCATAGAGACAATGACAGAATCTTCAAATGGGAGGCATTAACTGGCAACCAAAGAAAAATGGAATTTCACTGAGGGGGTGAGTGGCAAGAACTGGAAGAATCACGAGTAAAAGTAGACAAGAGGGTGACAGTGAAGGAAATCTTTGAAACCTCACTAACTGTGAGATTTCATCATTCAGTTATTCTCTCTCTGTAACCATAAACTTAATCTGCAACCTTCCATTTCCGCCTCCTTTGGGGTTACATCTTTGGTCTAATTCTAATAAATCACTGATATGGCTCCATCTGGCATAAGTGAACAGGAAAAAAAATTATCTTTGTAACGTCCGTTGCTTTTTCTCTCAAATTTAAAATGGAATCTCAAAAATAATGTAGAGGCAAGTAAACATACTGTACTACTACATACATAGTTTGTTAAGTATTTTCATATGGTAGGCCATGTAATGTGAATGTAAATATGAACATTATAATGTATAAATTCCCTAGCACTTCATAAAATTCCTTTTGAGTTACATTAAAAGAAACTGCAGAAAGAGATGCTCCCACAATCAAAGACAATTAAGGACAAAGTTATCCACTGTGATTGACCATGGATCCAACTTAATGGGGTGACCCATCCCTTCAAGTACAAAACCAATCACCATGGCTGCTAGAGAAAAAGAGTTTTTCTAAACAAACAGAACATGAAATATGCAAAGGACGCATTCTGTAGTAGCACTGACACTATGCATACATGCATGTTAAGTTGATGATGGACAATAGGCAGATCGGGCAATAGCTGCCAATGTCATGGATGTCTCCCTTCTTTTACAACAGAACGGTACTGTTTGTTTTCCATTGGGATGGAACCTTGCATTCAGAGAGGTAGTGTGTGAAGAGCAGAGTCAGTGTATTGACGAGTACTGGCGGCAGATTCTTCGGGTGTTCGGGTCTGACCTTGTCTACATACCCTTTAATTGGCAATTGATATGAGGTTTCCTTTCAATCAAATAAGCTTTTTTTTTTTTGAACTCTTGATTCTCCTTGTAGGCATTTCTCATTCATGCTGCTTTAATTTACTAATTAAGATATTTACTGCTTCACCAAATGGATGCCATAGAGCATTATTTATTATTTATAGTACAATTGGTCTATGTACTGCTGTGGACTTCAATTCACTGACTTCTAAATATAAATCAACATAAGGAAAGTCTGTATTGAAATCGAATAATGAATGCAGTAATGTTAGGGAGCAGGATGAAGTGCTGCTAGGGCCCTTTGGTGTTAAGTACCAACTTAATGGTGATGAGGGCTTCAGGACCATCTTCCGTGTACAGGGCTACTGTGTATATTCATAGGCCATATGGTACTGGGGATCAGCTGAATCCTTGTACTAAATCCCTGGCTCCAATGACAATTTTATTGTCACACCCAGTGGTGCTAACTGCTGGCTTAATGCTGACTCTGATACTAAGATCACTCTTGGTGGAGCTAAGGGAACCATTTGGGTTGTCAGGTATCAAACCCTGGTTAGCCTTGTGCAGGCAAGCACCCTACTTGCTATACTATCAGTCTGGACCCCAGTGATATTTTAAATCAGAGTTAGCCATATTTTACAAATTGGAGCAATGGTGTTAAATAAGAATTTATTGGCTGTTATTAAAATAACAATGCAAAATTTATTCTTAGAGCTAAGAACTAGTAGCAGCTATAGCTATTGAATAGTTAGACTATTACTAAATGGACAATGTTATTAAATGCTATTTAATGGAAAGCAAATTGTGAAATACTTACAATAGTATATTACAACCAATAGTAGCAACAAATAGAAAAAAAACTACTGTTTAATTCAATATATAAATGAATTTCAAAAGAAACATGCTTTATGTTTTGGGTTTGAATTCACACTCAGTTATGCTCAGTGCTTACTCATGGCTCTGGTAGATTCAGTAAACCATATGGGGTGCTAAGGTGTAAGTCTTGGTCATTCACATGGAAGGCTAGTTAGTCTCCACTGTACTCCCTCTCTAGCTCCTAATATGCTTCTACACATTTATTTTGCTATTATTTGCTGCAACGATCCCTTATGAATATATATATATATATATTTTTAAATGTAGGAGTACTGCTATTTATTCAGCCACTGAGTAGGCTGGTGGAATTGGGCATGAACTCCACACTTATGAATATTTTTTCTCTTTTTAATTTTTATTAGTGAAACACCATGAGGTACAGTTTGTAGATTTACAAATTTTTGTGCTTGGGTTTCGATTATACAATGATCAAATACCCATCCCTCCACCAGTGCCCATTTTCTACCACCATGGATCCCAGTATCCCTCCCACACCTATCCTCCCCATCCCACCCTGCCTCTGTGGCAGGGCATTCCCTTTCGTTCTCTCTCTCCTTTTGGGTATTGTGGCCTGCAAAAGAGGCATTGAGTGGCAATCACGTTCAGTCCATAGTCTACTTTCAACATGCATCTTCCCTCCTGGGAGGATCCTCCAAACTCCCTTTATTTGGTGCTCCCTTCTCTATCTGAGCTGCCCTTTCCCCTAGAATGCCCAGCTGGCCTCTAAACCATGGAGTAATCCTCCTGGTACTGATCTCGGCTATTCTTGGGTATTAATCTCCTGTTTTGTTATCTTATGTCCCCCAGATGAATGCAATCTTTTTATATCTATCCCTCTCTTTCTGACTCATTTCGCTTAGCATGATACTTTCCAAGTAGTACCACTTGTATGTAAATTTCATGACTTCATCTTTACTTATGAATATTTTTAACCTTTTAATATCTAAGGACGAAGTTAGGTTGCTTTCATCAATTTTCACTTGTATCACTTGTCATCCCATTAATCTTCAATTTGCTCGATCAAGCACGAGAAACATCTCCATTCGTCCCTGTTGAGTGCTAGTGTAGCCCAATGGCATCTACTCGCTCCAGGAACACGAAGAGCCTCAAACTGTTTGTTCAGGGTTTTGAAGTCTGACCATCTAGTAAGTGGGCAGTCACGCGTCCTTTTGACATCCCGTGGAATCCAGTCAGTAACAGCTCTAGTCCAGTGGTCGTCTCTAAATCGCATTACGTGTCAGGCCCATCTGATTTTTGACGAGACAGCATCCCTGATCCTTTTTTTACAAAAAATTTTATTGAATCACTGTCATTTGGGCTGGAGCAATAGCACAACAGGTAGGGCGTTTGCCTTGCACGCAGCCAACATGGCCAACCTGAGTTCGATCCTCTGCCCCACCCGGAGAGACTGGCAAGCTACCGAGAGTATCTCGCCTTCATGGCAAAGCCCGGCAAGCTACCCATGACATATTCGATATGCCAAACACAGTAACAAGTCTCACAATGTTACTGGGCCCGCTCGAGCAAATCGATGAACAATGGGAAGACAGTGATACCGTGAGTTAGGTACAAGCTGATTCTCGATCACTGATGGAGGATTCCTTCTCTCACTTGAGTGAAATGTGATATTCCAAGCATAGCTCTTTTGATTCCTCTTTGGGATACCTGAATAGCGTTCTCGTCCCGTTTCTGTAGGGCCCAGGTCTCTGAGGCATATGTCAGTTAGTGTAGGGAGAATGGTGAAGTCAAAAAGACGTGCCTGAAGCCAGAGGTTCTTCATTCTCTTAACAACTTCTTTGATGCTCTTGAAGGTGTTCCACGCTGCTCTCTTCCTTCTGCGCAGTACTGGCACCAAGTCATTCCTCATGTTGAGTTCTCGACCCAGGTACACATAGCTGCTGCATTTGGAGATGTTCGTTCCATGAGAGCAAATGGAACGTCAGATTCTAGTTCGTTTTTCATGAATATTGTTTTGGTGAGATTCTGCTGCAGTCCATTCTTTCCACACTCATGGTCAAAGTCAGCCAGCATTTGTGCTGCTTGGCTAATGTTTGGTGTTATTAGAACGAATGAATGTCACCAGCGAAGCGAGGTGGTTTAGTTGCCAACCGTCAATCTTCACTTCCATTTCTTCCCATTCCGGTCGTTGCATGATGTTCTTGAGGGTAGCACTGAAGAGTTTCAGTGAATTGGCATCACCTGCCAAACCCCTCTCTTTACGTCAATGACCACTTCCTTGTAGAATGGAGATCCTGGTGGTGAACCCGTAATATAGCTCGCGGAGGATCCTGATGTATTGAGTTTGAACGCCCTGTTTGGTGAGGGCTTCGATGACCCCTTCAGTTTCAACAGAATCAAAGGCCTTATTTAAATTGATGAATGTTAGACATAGTAGCATCTTGAACTCTCCCAAAACCTCAATGAGCTTGGTCACCATGTGGATATGGTCGATTGTGCTGAATTCTTTTCGGAACCCAGCTTGCCTGCCTGGTTGTCCTTCATCTAGTGTTCTGCCTATTCTATTCAGGATGACTTGAGTGAACAACTTGTAGATGATGGACAATAGGCAGATCGGGCAATAGCTGCTAATGTCATGGATGTCTCCCTTCTTTTACAACAGAACGGTACTGTTTGTTTTCCATTGGGATGGAACCTTGCATTCAGAGAGGTAGTGTGTGAAGAGCAGAGTCAGTGTATTGACGAGTACTGGCGGCAGATTCTTCGGGTGTTCAGGTCTGACCTTGTCTGGACTGGGTGTTGTTTGCTTCTTTACTGATGAAATGGCACGTCGGATTTCAGAAGGGAGAACATTGGGAACGACATATCCATCCTGAGGAATTTGGTATGTGGGCAGGTGGACGTGACTATCAAAGAGATCCGAGTAGAAGTCATGGATAATCTTCTCCATTGCCCTTCTGGAAGATGTGATAGATCCATCAGGACATCAGAGGGCAGTCACCTTGGTCTTGTAGTTGGCAAAGGACAGGTGGGCGTTGTGAATGCTTTTCCCGGCTTCTGCTGCATCAGTCAACACTGCTGCTCTTCTCTCTTTGAGGTCTTCCTTGATCGCTTCTTTGCACAGCTTTGTAAGCTCGGACAGTAGCTTGTAATCGCCTGAGGCTGGTTCCGAAACACGTTGGCAAATGAGCTCGAGAGTTTCCCAAGACAGGGTTCTGTTTGTGGCTTTCCGACTCTCGCAATCCTCGTGCAGTCATGGAGGTGCTGAACCAGTTGTAGTGGTATGAAAAATATATAATTTTCGTCAAGGAAGTATCTAAATTTTCAATTACTTTAGCTGGAAAGTTTTAGAATATATCAGTAAATCCTGTCATATTTATCACTCACATATCTGCATGTTTTGCTCATTACATCTCTAGTATTTCAGATGCCTGAGAGCTGTGCCTGAATTGAATGTCTAAGACTAACTCTAACAACTGTTTAGAAGCCAGTGGCAGAAATCAGTGAAATGGTATTAGTCCATCACGGAATTAGGAATTACCTGGAGAGGTGCAGTTGGTGCTCACATTTGCTCAGCAGTTCTGTCAATTTCAGGCACTCCTCTCCGGCCAGTGCTACCTTCTGGTGCTCCTGTTCCAAGTGTTGCTTGCTTTCACTCAGTTCTAATCTCAGTTTTTCTGTTTCCTTAGGTAGAGAGAAGAGGAGAAAACATCTATGTAAAATGAATGACCTTGAAATTTAAATGGCCTCATTTAAATTTTTCTTGTGATTTTTAATGTGAAAAAAAATATTAGATATTTCAGGCTACCTTTGATTTTATGGCAAAGGAACTAAGGAAAGGCAAATGTCATATTAGTGACAATTTTCTGGGATAAAGTCAAATTTTTAAAATGAAATGAGAGGAGTCAAAACTTCCCCTTTCCTTCCCTCCCTCTGTCTCTCCATCTTTCTCTCTCTTCCAGGTTTTTCTTTCTTTCCTTCTTCATTTCTTTTCTTTCTTTGCCTAGTAAGTGGTATTTGGGGCTTACTCTTGGCTCTATGCTTGGGCATCACTCTGGTGGGCCTCAATGGACCATATGGTGTGAGAGATCAAACTTAGGTTGCAGGACTATCTTTCCAGTACCTAATCAGTATTTCATTCAAAGACTCAGTCTCTTAAAAATATTAACTGAAAAAGTCATGATTAAAATACAATGGTCTGGTTTATAACTAGAACCAGATAAACGTAGTATCTTTTTTTTTAATCAAATATATATCTTTATTTTGAAAGATATACTTACAATTTAGATCAATTTTATTAAAACCAAAAAAAAAAAATGCCCTCCCGTTGATCGTCGATTTGCTCGAGCGGGCCCAGTAACGTCTCCATTGGAGACTTTGTTGTTACTGTGTCTGGCATATCGAATACTCTCGGTATCTTGCCGGGCTCTCCGAGAGGGGCGGAGGAATCGAACTCGGGTCGGCCATGTTGGCCGCTTGTAAGGCAAACGCCCTACCCGCTGTGCTATCGCTCCAGCCCATTAATCGGGGCTGGACCGATTAAAACCAAATTAAAGGAAAATAATGTAAGATATGTTTTAGAAAAAATTGATGTACAAAAGAAGTATCACCAGGATGCTCAAAATTATTTGGAAAAATTAGAGCATGAGAATCTTTGGGCGTTTAGAGTATGAGATCTGAGCTAAAATAATATACTTCAAAGGGCACGAAAATTAATAAAAACAAACTTCCAAAACATTCAAAATGTCAGCTACTATTTGGTCATGGGTTTCAGAATAATAATACTTTTGTTTTACTGAAACTCAAATGCTGGCGTGATAGCATAGAGTAGGGCATTTGCCTTGCACGCAGTCAGCCCAGCTGAGCCAGGTTCGATTCCACTGCCTCTCTCAGAGAGCCCAGCAAGCTTCCGAGAGTATCTCGCCCGCATAGCAAAGCCTGGCAAGCTACCTGTGATGTCTTTAATATGCCAAACACAGTAACAACAAGTCTCAAAATGGAGACATTACTGGACCTGCTTGAGCAAATCAATAAACAACGGGAGGACAGTGTTTGTTTGTTTGTTTGTTTGTTTTGAAAGTCAAATATTTCAAAGAAAAAATACCTTATGTGGAAAATAGCTTAAAATATTTATATAAAATTAAGCAAAGCAAAATAGGTATTTAGACTATAAAAACAAGAAAAATGGGAAACTAAAAGAGAGAGTAAGCTCAGTATTCAAGTGCATTTCAAATTTTTCATGTTGTCTTCTGAACAATTTTCAATGAATATATCAGGTAAGAAGAATTAATTTGCTTTTAATATTTTCACACTTATAATCAGTTTATCCACCATGCAATCTTCATATTGCAAAAAATATAATAAGACAACTATAATACATGTTCTAAAATATTGATTTTAAAAACTACGTAATAATGAGCTTTTGAGAGTATTTTTATACCTTTAGGATTGAAATAATAAATAAAACATGTTTAAAAAAGATGAAGTCATGAAATTTACATACAAGTGGTACTACATGGAAAGTATCAAGTTAAGCAAAATGAGTTAGAAAGAGAGGGATAGACATAGGAAGATTGCATTCATCTGGGGAACATAAAGTAACAAAATAGGAGACTAACATCCAAAAGCGGCCGAGATTAGTACCAGGAGGTTTCCTCCATGGCTTGGAGGCCAGCCACACATGCTAGGGAAAAGGGAGCTCAGACAGAGAAGGGAGCACCAAATAGAGGGGGTTGGGAGGATCCTCCCAGGATGGGAAAAGCATGCTGACAGTAGACTCAAGACCAAACATCATTGACACTCAATGACTCTTTTGCAAACCACAGCACCCAAAAGGAGAGAGAGAACAAAAGGGAATGCCCTGCCACAGAGGCAGGGTGGGATGGGAGGGGGAAAGGGGTTAGTAGGGATACTGGGACCCATGGTGGTGGTGGAAAATGGGCACTGGTGGAGGGATGGGTGATCATTTGATCATTGTATAATTGAAACCCAAGCACAAAAAATTGTAAGTGTACAACTGTACCTCATGGTGTTTCACTAATAAAAATAAAAAAATAAAAAAAATTACATTAAATTTATACCACTACCTTTCCAAAGGGCTGGAGCGATAGCATATTGAGTAGGGCATTTGCCTTGAACGCGGCCCACCCAGTCGACCCAAGTTCAATTCCTCTGCCCCTCTCGGAGAGCCCAGCAAGCTACCTAGAGTATCTCACCCACATGACAAAACCTGGCAAGTTATCTGTAATGTATTCGATATGCCAAACACAGTAACAAGTCTCACACTGGAGACATTATTGGACCTACTCAGACAAATTGATGAAGAACGGGAGCGGTGCTACAGTGCTACCTTTCCAGTATTATAACTAAATATATATGTATGTATAACTAAGTATATATACGTATATAACATATATATTGTTATATTGGCTTTTTGGGTCACACCCAGTGATGCACAGGGGTTACTCCTGGTTTTGCACTCAGGAATTGTTCTCAGGGGACCATATAGGATGTTGGGAATAGAATCTGGGTTGGCTGTGTGCAAGGCAAATGCCCTACCCTCTGTACTATCGCTCTGGTCCTATAAAAATATTTTAAAAAATAATAAAAAGTCTAAATTTTGGGGCTGGAGTGATAGCACAGTGGGTAGGGTGTTTGCCTTGCACACAGCTAACATGGCTGACCCAAGTTCGATTCCTCCGCCGCTCTCAGAGAGCCTGGTAAGCTACAGAGAGTATCTCTCCTGCACAGCAAAGCCTGCCTGGCAAGCTACCTGTGACGCATTCAATATGCCAAACACAGTAACAACAAGTCTCACGATGGAGAAGTTACTGGGCCCGCTTGAGCATATCGATGAACAACAGGAGGATTGTGATTGTGATCTTCTAAATTTTGTTTTTTCATCTATGTATAATAAAGATATAATTAAAAAGTGCATATTAAAATATACATATATTAATAAGAGCAAAGAAAATCAGAATTGAAATAAATGTCAATTTTAAAGTTTAAAACATTCATTATTTTCCTTACAGAGACATATGAAAGAAGCTATGCTAATATTATGGTACATATCAAAGCAGAGTTTCCATATCCAAACAAACAAGTGAATAAAAAAAAGGAAATAACAGTATTATCAAAAGGGTATCCGAGGGATGGTACCACTCAGTTTCACCAGTAAAATCCAGGCATAAGACCTATGAATAACTAGGTAAGAACCCCGTTATTCAGGAATAAAGCAGGAATAAAACCCAATATTCTATTAAACAGGAGAAAATATTTGCATATGCTTCGTCTAATCAAGTGCTAATATCACAGAACTCAAAGAGAAGAAAAACTTCTCTATCAAAAAATAGAAGAGCTAAACAGAAAATCCCCACAGAATCGAAAGAAGTATGTGAAAAATTGCTCATTATTGTTATTTGGTAAATATAAACAAAAAAACTAATGATATTATCATTTCACACCTGTGAGACTGCCACATATGAAAAAGCTCAGAAATAAATAAATATTGCCCAGAACAAGGAGAAATAGAAATTCTTGTGCAATATTGGTAGAAAGTATTCAAGTCTCTACTGAAAATGCATAAATATTTTGTAAAATGCAGAAAATATACCTACCATATTATCCAGTAATACAACTCTAAGATAACTCTCTAAAGAACAGTAATTTGAAACACTGACAGCATATATATTGCCTCTTGTCACAATATTGGTGGAAACAAAGGGGGTCATGCTAAGTGGAATAAGTCAGAAGGGAAAACACAAGTGAGTAGTCTCATTTATGTGAAACATAAAGAAATAAATCAAAGAGAGAAAAGAAGCCATACAAGCCCTTGAATTCAGAGTGCAGAACTGAGAGGAGAAGCAGGGAGTGGGAGAAGTTCAATAGGCTGTAGTAGAGGGATATTTCAGGTGTGAGTGTACTGAGATACCAAATATTTTAAAGAGATGTGAAACAGTATCCCTGAAACATATATAGCCTTGTAAACCAACATTATCTAAAAAAAAAAAGAAAATGTGATAAAAAAATTAAAATCATCATGTAAGTTACATTTCGAGGACCACGTACTACATGTATGGGAATATATATATCCATATCTACCTATATGCTTATATTTATGAATATATGTACATCTGCATGCATTTTCTCTGCTGTTTTGTTTATGCTGTTGTGTATTTTGGTTTTTCATACCTGACAGTGCTCAGGCACCACTTGTAGCAGGAATTGAAGAATCAGACAGGAGAGGAGGGAAAAACCTGGCCAGGGGGTAAATCCCCTACAAGCTGTACTATTCCTCCATATTTCATTTAATTTTTAATGCAGAAAGAGCTGTTTTCTTGATACACCTATTGTATTAACTCTCCCTTTATGTCTGGTTCTTGTTACAAAAATCATTGTATGATTTCAATCTCTATACACTAAAACAGAATTTGAGTAATGTCAAGAAAAAAACACTAATATTCTGGCAGGCCTATTTTTCTATCATAAACTTAAATGCAGAGGTAAGTTGAAAATTACACCCTACAGGTTGCAATTCAAATTAAGATGTGACAATGTCCTCTCAGTATGAATAATCAAATTTTTCTTTTTTTTTTTGCTTTTTGGGTCACACCCAGCGATGCACAGGGGTTACTCCTGGCTCTGCGCTCAGGAATTATCCCTGGCGGTGCTCAGGGGACCATATG